TCTGTCTGTCTGTCTGTCTGTCTGTCTGTGTCTGTCTGCTGTCTGTCTGTTCTGCTGTCTGTCTGTCTGTCTTGTCTGTCTGTCTGTCTGTCTGTCTGTCTGTCTGTCTGTCTGTCTGTCTGTCTGTCTGTCTGTCTGTCTGTCTGTCTGTCTGTCTGTCTGTCTGTCTGTCTGTCTGTCTGTCTGTCTGTGAATTGTTACAGCTTAAATGCATTGCAATGACTTCCATGTTAAAAAAAGCTGAATATTTTGAAAAAGTTGAAAGTTTCCCATCATGTGCTGAAAAGGCTGAATAGTTTGATATTTGAATGGTTCCTGCAGCTGAAATTAGGCTGAAGGAGTTACATAAAGACATTAAATGTAAGTAGTAGTGAATGAATGTTTACAAACACCTGTGTGTGTAAACCCAGAGATGAAAGGTTACCATGGTGACGATTTATGACGATTTTCCAACTGCAGCACTGAGTGCCATTAAGAATGCATTGAGGATTATATCTGACAATTTTGCCACCTGTTAAAAAACTATGGCTCCTATCAAAAAATGACCAGACCGTGAGCATCAGGGAACCCCAATGAACTGATATATGTTGTTTTCTTTGGTTTTGTGTGTAAAATGTGGAGATGGGAGCAGTTTGTCTAAAGTGTACTTCTCTCTGTTCTGAAGAAAGTTCCGGAAAGATTTAACATGGGAATCAATTGGGAGCTAGCTGGACTTTTTGTCTCTTCATGCCCTCAAGAGGCATTTTGTTTAATATTTTTTCTTAATTCTTTTTTATTTTCCAACCTTGGAGAGGTTTTCCTACGTTTTTCATGAAAAATTATGTCTGAGGAGTGTAGGGTTTGGGAATTATGGCAAGTTTAAAACATTTTTTGAGGAGAATTTGAAGCACACCTCCACTCTGTTTTGAGATCAAAGCACTCTAGACTTAACGAGCTGCTCCATCCACACTAATGTTAAAATCTGAAGAAAGCCTCTTTACCAAGCTCCAAACAAAGTTAATTATCTCAAAAAGTGTAAAAGATATCAAAAATAAAAGTCAATTTTGAATAGCTGAAGGTGTTGTGATCATTTGAAAGTTGGAATGAAGTGTCTAGCTGAAAGTATGTGGAAGGAGAAGCATTTGGCGCAAAGTGTAGGAAAAGAGGATTTGAAGGCATCTCCCATTGACTTCAATGTTAAAAAAAAGAGTTTAAAAAGCTGAATATTTCAAAAAGTATAAAATATTTTTAAAAAGTTGAAGGTTTCCCATCGATTCCTGAACAGGCTGAATAGTTTGATATTTGAATGGTTTCTGTAGCTGAAAGTAAGCTGAGGTTATGGAGAGCCAAAGTATTGGTGAAATAATATTAAGGGGAAGAATAAAGAAATTGAAGTACTATAGTGGAATGCTGTGGCACAGCATTCGCACTAATTAAGGGGAAGAATAAAGATTCGAAGAACTATAGTGGAATGCTGTAAACAGCATTCGCACTAACTAAGATATAGCACCCAGTAAAAGTCCTGCATTCAACATGTTACTCAAGTAAAAGTAGAAGTACTCAGACCTTGTACTTGAGTAAAAGTAGAAGTACTCCGATCTTGTAGTTGAGTAAAAGTACTCAGGTCTTGTACTTGAGTAAAAGTAGAAGTACTCAGGTCTTGTACGTAGTAAAAGTAGAAGTACTCAGATCTTGTAGTTGAGTAAAAGTAGAAGTACTCAGATCTTGTACCTCAGTAAAAGTAGAAGTACTCAATTATTGTACTTGAGTAAAAGTAGAAGTACTCGGGTCTTGTAGTTGAGTAAAAGTAGAAGTACTCAGGTCTTGTACGTAGTAAAAGTAGAAGTACTCAGATCTTGTACCTCAGTAAAAGTAGAAGTACTCAATTCTTGTACTTGAGTAAAAGTAGAAGTACTCAGATCTTTTACTTGAGTTAAAGTAGAAGTACTCAGATCTTGTACTTGAGTAAAAGTAGAAGTACTCAGATCTTGTACTTGAGTAAAAGTAGAAGTACCAGAGTGTATGAATACTCAATTACAGTAAAAGTCCTGCATTCAAAATGTTCCTCAAGTGAAAGTAGAAAAGTATTATCATCAAAATATAGTGAAAGTAGCGACAGTGAAAGTAGTCATTGTGCAGATTGGTCCATTTCAGAATAATATATATGATATGTTTTATAATGATTGATCATGAAAGTGTTCTCAAAGCTGGTAAAGGTGCAGCTAGTTTGAATGACTTTGTATACTGCAGGGTAGCTTGTGGATTTACTCCAGGTGGAACTAAAGTCTGATTTAACACTTGATTAGATTTCACATCATTCATCCACATCTGTAAAGTAACTAAAGGGATTAAATACATGTAGTGGAGGAAAAGTACACAAATGACCCATTTCAGAATAATATGAAGTACAGAAGTATTATCAGCTTCAATTATCAACAGTGAAAGTACTCTTTTCACAGTATTTTATTATTATGGTACAGTATACAGTATGACCATATCAGTATATATATATATGTCATGTGCTATTATGTGTACAAAGTAACTGTAATTGTTAAACACATGTAATGGAGAAAAAAGTACAATATTTGCCTCCGAAATGTAGAGGAGTAGAAATATAATGTAGCATTAAATGGAAAAACTTTAGTAAATTTCAAATATGTCAAAAAAGTACTTAATTACAATTCTTCAGTTAGTTCCTTTTCACTGGCACTTCAGTAGTAATTGATCTGTGTTGTAATATTTTAACATGTTTTTTTTGTTTCCCCAGCTGCAGTCGGGGCCAAACAGCAGAAAACAGAATTCACCAGCAGTGGAAGAGTCTCTGTGTGTGAGACTGCTATAGAAATGACCCATGCTATTAAAGAGGTGAGTTTAATTACCATTTATTTAACCTGTTACGCACCGCCCCCCCGGTACCGGGCGGATAAACGCGCCATTTGCAGGAAACAACGTCTAAGGAATCTTAATATTTAATAAACTATGAATGTTTTATATCCATGTAACGGGAAGAAACTCAGGTAACTGATCTTTTAAAAAAAGAAATCCAAAAAAAACCCACAATGCTAACACTCAGCCTCTGAATTAGCCACGAGCGAAAAAATTTAACCTAAAACTGCACCTAAACTCACTCATAACTCCCTTATTACTTATCCTAGATGCACAGCCAACCCCTCGTTTTGCATCAGCTGGAGACACAGAATCTGGGGGTGCCCACCTCAACACTCAGTGATAAACATTTGCGACGCTATAAACGAAAAGCCGTACATCAGAACATGTGGAGCTAGGTAGCTAGAAACGCTAACATGGCTTACCTTGGTCAAAACTGGTCTTCAATGGCATTATAAAACGATAAAAAAAACGATGCTGCAGTTAATCCATAGGTTAATCCAATGTATCTGTGTCCTCTTTGAAATGATTTCTGATAATCCATAAGCAATAAAACTGCTTTTTCGTTTCCAAATGTCAGAGCTAGAGATAGGTCCACTCTGATGCTAAATTACATGCGCGAGGCCCCCACTTCTTCTCTTCACAACGAGTGTGTGTGGGCCTCCCCCTTCGATTCTATTGGCTCTAACGGTCAGAAAGAGGTGTCAACCATCACAATCGACCAAGGGGGGCCAGAGATATGGAGAAAAAAACATTTTCACCCAAATCACCTCAGAGGTGGGGTGGTTTTGGCTAAACCTCTCTAAAAAGGTCAAATGTCACTTGTTTTGCATCAATCTTGATACAGGGTACTTATTATATGTTGTACTTTGGATTCCTAAAGCTTTTAGTCTACTAACCCATCATCCAAGGGTAGTTTTCACTATAAGTAAAAAAGAATTTTTGGACGGACACTATAATTTACAGTTTTTTACTATGTAAAATCTGAATTTTCTTTAAAATAAAAAACATCTATATTGATTCTGACACTTCTACATCCAACTCACAGATGTAACCTTGCTTTGATAAAAGAAATTATTCATATAACCCTTTTAGAAGTTAAGTTGTAGTCATTTGTTTTGGGCATGTCATTTTCGAGCCTGAAACATGAAAAACAGGCTTGGTGCCTAACAGGTTAAAGGTCCCATGTCCTGCTTTTCTGGTTATTACCTGTCCCCTTGTGTTATGTAGCTTTTTCTGCATGTAAATGGTCTGCAAAGTCAAAAACCCTCAAAGTACACCCTGTAGCGAGTAAAACTCTAACACAGAAAAGACCTGTCTATGCTGCCCCAGAACGCCTCGTTGGACATTTTTATTTTTCCATTTTTTTCTTCCTGGTCACAGTGACGTAACGGTCACAGTGACGTAACGGTCATAGTGACGTAATGCACACACACACTCACAGCCTGGCTTTGAGTGTGTGTGTGTGCTCAGGCTGAGCTCCGCGGTGTCTCGCTGCAGGAAACGACACCAGTAACCCCACGCAGCATTCTCATCTGTTTGTCATTACTGGTGTCATTTCCTGGTCGCTAACTAACGCCATAGTAACACATAATCACTGATGTTCAGCTGTAACGGTGGTGGACTCATCAGAACAGAGTGGGCGAGCTGACCAATCAGAGCACACTGGGCTCACAGGGAGGGGGGGGCAGGAGCTCCAACAAGCCGTGTAGGACAGAGAGTGAATACACATACTATACAGAGATGCTGTATGAGAAACCAATGTGATTTTGGAACATTGAACAATGTAAATCTATTCTTGTAGACCTCAACAATGGAATCATGATCAGTAGAAATGGCCATGACATGGGACCTTTAACATTTACCATCACATCCCCCCTGTCCTTATCTCTGAATGAATGCTCAATGTCTCGATACTTTACAAACTACAGTTGGTGCTTTTCTTTAATCCTAGAACAATGTGTAAAAGTTCCAATAAGGACAACTGTCATGTTATAAATCATAATATCAGTAACGTATTCATACAGTATTACCTTACATGTAGGACTGCAACTACTGAGTATTTTTGATTATTAGTAAATCTGTGGGTTATTGTTCGTTGTTTGGTCTATTTAATGTCAGAAAATAGTGAAAAATATCCATCCCAGTTACTTCAAATCCAAGCTGATGTCTTGAAATATCTTCCAAAACTCAAATATATTCACTTTAATATGATATTAAATAGACAAACGCAGGAAATCTCCATTTGAGAGGCTGGAAACTGTATTTTATGACGATTTTGCATGGAAAATGACCCAAAAAATGTATTACTTATCAAAATAAAATAGTTTCAGCTCTTCCTACAAACTACAAACCATTTATTTTTTAGATTTATGAGACATGAATCACCTTATTTGATCCTGTTAATGTTTGAATACATGCTTATTTTAACAAACTCAAGTGTATTTTTATCCTGCTGTGATTTTTCGGTTATTTTCTGCACAAATGGCGTACTTTCAATTTAAAATATTGGTTGGTTTTGGTTGAAATTAGTCTCTAAGAGTGAATTAAAAAGCATTTTATTTTGTCACCATTGTATTTTCTACCCTCAGGACTCCTCGAGCAGAGCCGCAGAGGAGTCGAGGGAACAGGATGTTGTCGTTCTGATAAAGGAGGAAACCACGAAAGAGGAAGTGAGCGACGATGCAGGCGATCTGCTTCTCAACGAGGAAGGTGAGACAGGAAACAGACCGTTAAATATCCGGGAAGTCGCTCATTCATTTACTGCAGAAGTCTCAAATCAAGCTAAAACCACAGAGTGGGAAGAACTGGAAGTAGGTGTGAGGCTGCTTTGATCATCTTCATCATCATCATCATCATCTTATATACAAACTGCACTCTCTGGATCATAAAACATAGTAAATGGAGTCTGGCAAATTCACGCTGCGTATAATGATGGTATTTATTAGTGGAATGCTGTGCCACAGCATTCCACTATAGTACTTAAAATCTTTATTCTTCCCCTTATTATTATTTCAGCCAATAGAGTGGCGAAGTCACGCCCATCTACTTCCGCCCCATGGGACCTTATTTCGGAAAAATAATGTATTGAAGTCAATGGAGAGAGAAAACGTATCTTTCGATCCCGTTTGAATTGTGCCATGAATTACACATATGATGTTTGTCAATCTTAAAAAATCATTTCCATGTCAAAAAAGTCACAGTTTGTCGTAAAACTGTTGAAATATAAGACTATGAAAAATACGCAACTAGAAAGACTACAAATCCCAGAGTCGCGTAAGTGATGTCACAATTGAGACACTAAGAGATAGCTAAGATCAGCGCCATATAGATAGAATCTATCTATATGGCGCTGGCTAAGATAAGATAACTTTAACAAGATGCCTGTGTGCTTAGTACCAGGTTGTTATTATACCAGCAATGGGTCTTGCTCGTTCTTTCGCTTCCCGTCTGATGAAAGGACCAGGAGTGTCTGGATCAAGTTAGCTACCTAGCTAGTAGCTAGCACGTTAGTTAGCATTACAGCCATGTCATTTGTATTAGCCTTAACATGAAGTAACATTAAGTAACCCAAAATGTTAAACAGTAAGAGTAGTAGTCATATTTCGTGAACCATTTGAAGAGTACTGTCACCGGTGTGATCATTCTATAATACACACTTTAAGACCGGGGGAGAAATGCTAATGCTAACGCTAGCATCGGCGATCTTTTGCACTTCATGCTATCTGCACAAATGGTTGACATTAAACATTAAAACATTAAAACGACCAGGCAGTTCAGAGAGAATCAAAGGAAGGCAGGCAGGCAGCTTTGCATGACATTCTTCAGGACGTGTTTCATTGTGGTGATAGTGAGGGTAGTCAATCGTTTTGTTGACAAGACAGTAGTGACGGCCATCTTGGTGACGTGTGTTGTTCTGTGAGACAAGAGATGTAGTTCATGAGCGTTCACACAAACAAATGTGTTACTTCACAGTTTTACGACACTTTTTTTTTTTTTGACTTGCAAAATTATCTTTTAATTGACAAACATCATATGTGTAATTCGTGGCACAATTCAAACGGGATCGAAAGATAATCTTTCTCTCTCCATTGACTTCAATGCATAACTTTTCCGAAATAAGGTCCCATGGAGGTCCACCGGAAGGGGAGGGACTTCGCCACTCTATACTTTGGCACTCCATAACTTCAGCTTATTTTCAGCTACAGAAAACATTCAAATATTAAACTATTCAGCCTGTTCAGGAATCGATGGGAAACCTTCAACTTTTTAAAAATATGTTATACTTTTTGAAATATTCAGCTTTTTAAACTCTTTTTTTAACATGGAAGTCAATGGGAGATGCCTTCAAATCCTATTTTCCTACACCTTGCGCCAAATGCTACTCCTTCCACATACTTTCAGCTAGACACTTCATTCCAACTTTCAAATGATCACAAGACCTTCAGCTATTCAAACTTGATTTTTATTTTTGATATCTTTTACACTTTTTGAGATATTTAACTTAGTTTGGAGCTTGGTAGAGAGGCCTTTTTCAGATTTTAACATTAGTGTGGATGGAGCAGCTCGTTAAGTCTAGAGTGCAGCAGTGCTTCAAATTCTCCCCCAAAAATGTTTTAAACCTGCCATAATTCCCAAACCCTACACTCCTCAGACATAATTTTTCATGAAAAACGTAGGAAAACGTTGTCCTAGGTTGGAAAATAAAAAAAAATGAAGAAGAAATATTAATCAAAATGCCTCTTGAGGGTATGAAGTGACAAAAAGTCCACCTAGCTCCCAATTGATTCCCATGTTAAATCTTTCCGGAACTTTCTTCAGAACAGAGAGAAGTACACTTTAGACAAACTGCTCCCATCTCCACATTTTACACACAAAACCAAAAAAAACAACATATATCAGTTCATAGTGACACGACCGTCATCGGCCAGATCACAGACGATGACGAGACGGCGTACAGAGAGGAGGTCGAAAACCTGACATCTTGGTGCCAGGAGAACAACCTCCATCTCAACATCAGCAAAACAAAGGAGCTGATTGTGGACTACAGGAAGCAGCAGGGAGAGGGACACGCCCCCATCGCCATCAATGGGACTACGGTGGAGAGAGTCAGCAGCTTCAGGTTCCTTGGGGTCCACATCACTGAGGACCTGACATGGTCTCTTCACACCACCACCATCACCAAGAAAGCTCGACAGCGGCTCTTCTTCCTCCGCAGGTTGAGGAGGTTCAAAATGGATTCCAGGATACTCTGCAACTTCTACAGGTGCACCATAGAGAGTATCCTCACTGGCAGCATGACGGCCTGGTACGGCAGCTGCACCGACCTCGATCGTAAGGCGGTGAAAAAGAGGGTGGTGAAAACTGCACAGCACATCACATCACCAGGACGGAGCTGCCATCCATGGAGGACCTTTACTCCCAGCGGCTCAGGAAGAAATCACTACGGATTATCAAAGACCCCCATCACCCCAGCCACAAACTGTTCTTTCTGTTGCCGTCTGGCAGACGTTACCGCAGCATCCTGGCAAGGACAAGAAGATTCGGAGACAGTTTCTTCCCGCGGGCAGTGAGACTGTTAAACAATTGAACTGTTGAAACAACATCCAACATTCATCTGCTACTCAGTAGTATGTATCTAATACCTAATATATATATATCATTCCAATAACTTGTATATAGACTCATACTGCACTATTCCACATCATAACTTTATTTCATTTTTATAACTATTATTATTTTTGTATTGCCCTTGCTCTTATTGTTATTATGTTATGTTATCATGTTGCATTGTTGGAGAAGCCTGTGACATAAGATTTTCAACTGCATAATTACTCTGTAGCTATGTCAGATTGACAATAAAGAACCTTGAACCTTGAACCTTGAACCTTCATTGGGGTTCCCTGATGCTCACGGTCTGGTCATTTTTTGATAGGAGCCATAGTTTTTGAACAGGTGGCAGAATTGTCAGATATAATCCTCAATGCATTCTTAATGGGACTCAGTGCTGCAGTTGGTAAATCGTCATAAGTCGTCACCATGGTAACCTTTCATCTCTGGGTTTACACACACAGGTGTTTGTAAACATTCATTCACTACTACTTACATTTAATGTCTTTATTTAACTCCTTCAGCCTAATTTCAGCTGCAGGAACCATTCAAATATCAAACAATTCAGCCTTTTCAGCACATGATGGGAAAACTTTTCAACTTTTTTCAAAATATGTTATACTTTTTAAAACATTCAGCTTTTTAAAGTCTTTTTTTAACATGGAAGTCATTGCAATGCATTTGAGCTGTAACAATACACACACACACACACACACACACACACACACACACACACACACACACACACACACTTTTTGTCTAACACGCTAACACAGTTCTGTGTGCTGTTATGTTCAGTCATCGTTCTTATGTTGAACATGAATACATTTACTTTGTAAGTAATTATGGGACGTATTTCTTCTTTGATAGCAATTTTCCTTCATACTTTCTAGCCGTGAAATAAGTCTTAAATTCGATTCAAAGTGGTCTTAAAAAGGTCTTAAAAAGTCTTACATTTGCGTTGGTGGAACCTGCAGGAACCCTGAATGAAGTACTTTCTTATCTTATCTTCTTATATTATCTCTTAAGTGTTATTGTTAAATCAGCTTGAAGTCTCTGAATCCTAGAACAATGTGTAAAAGTTCCAATAAGGACAACTGTCATGTTATAAATCATAATATCAGTAACATATTCATACAGTCTTACCTACATGTAGGACTGCAACTAATGAGTATTTTGATTATTAATAAATCTGTGGGTTATTGTTCGTTGTTTGGTCTATTTAATGTCAGAAAATAGTGAAAAATATCCATCCCATTTACTCAAAGTCCAAGGTGATGTCTTGAAATATCTTCCAAAACCCAAATATATTCACTTTAATATGATAATAAACAGGAAATCTCTCTATTTGAGAGGCTAAAAAACTGTATTTTATGACTATTTTGCATACAAATGACCAAAAGATGTGTTGATGTGTTCATGCAGGATCGGCGGTGCAGCTGTTGGATACAGACGACAGTGAAGCTGGACCCTCGGGGGAAACGAGGCTCTGGGACCAGAACAGTGAGGTGGCATCGGAGCGTCAAAACTCCCAGAGTGCACCTGGGTCTCCAGGCCGAGGAGGCGACTCTTCAGACGTTGTTTTTGACGTGGAGTCGGATTGTGAGTCTCCGGATAAACAGTTCCTCGTCGTTGGGGCGTCGGGAGGAAAGAACTCGCTGCTTCCCGGGACTTCTGAGCTGAAAATAGGCGGGTCTTTAATCTCCTACGACTCAGATATCTGCTGTTCCTCGTGGACCAATCAGACTCTGCCGTCTCACCGACTTCTCGACAACAACAGATCCGATATAAACGTCCCAGCTTTCCCGTTAGCGCTCCAGCTCGCAGGATCCCAACTGGACCCATTGGAGATGAGTCGGTTCTGCAGGGATCGTCGTTTCGTCTGCAGTTACTGTGGGAAATGGTTTACATCCGGGCGAAGTTTGGAGACGCACCTTCGCGTTCACACGGGCGAGAGACCGTACAGCTGCGCTCAGTGCGGGAAGCGCTTCACGCAGTCCGGACACCTGAAGACGCACCAGAGCGTCCACACCGGGGAGCGGCCGTTCGGATGTACGCACTGCGGGAAGAGGTTCGCCGGGAAGCAGAACCTGAGGATCCACCTGCAGAAACACCATCCGGATCAACAGCAGCTTTAACCAGAAGAAGAAGAACAACTTGATTTATCCCATGAGGGGATATTCAGTTTTCTGTGAAGGGGCCTGTCAACCTGCCACTACATGATATGCGTAAAAACATTCAGCGCTGAGGTTGCCGTTTTGTTTCTAGGGAAAAGCTTAAAATGGTAGATTATTTCAACGTTACAGCAGACCGTTTGATGGACAACCAATCAGGTAACAGCTTAACTGGATTTTCACAGCAAGGCTCTGCAGGATGAGCTAAAGGGGCGGGACATCTGTGACCAATCACAACAGCGTGGCCCAGCTAACCAATCACGAGCAGACTGGGCTCTGGTTTCAGAGGGTGTGAAAAGACGGTGCTGCAGCACAGGCAGTATGAGAACAACCATAAGAGCTTTTTGAAGACACTACACACTGATATACACCTGAACATCAGCAGGAGAGGACTCTTTAAAGTAGAGACACTACATACTGATATACACCTGAACATCAGCAGGAGAGGACTCTTTAAAGTAGAGACACTACATACTGATATACACCTGAACATCAGCAGGAGAGGACTCTTTAAGTAGAGACACTACGATACTGATATACACCCTGAACATCAGCAGGAGAGGACTCTTTAAAGTAGAGACACTACATACTGATATACACCTGAACATCAGCAGGAGAGGACTCTTTAAAGTAGAGACACTACATACTGATATACACCTGACATCATCAGGAGAGGACTCTTTAAAGTAGAGACACTACATACTGATATACACCTGAACATCAGCAGGAGAGGACTCTTTAAAGTAGAGACACTACATTACTGATATACACCTGAACATCAGCAGGAGAGGACTCTTTAAAGTAGAGACACTACATACTGATATACACCTGAACATCAGCAGGAGAGGACTCTTTAAAGTAGAGACACTACATACTGATATACACCCTGAACATCAGCAGGAGAGACTCTTTAAAGTAGAGACTACTATACTGATATTACACCTCTGAACATCAGCAGGAGGGACTCTTTAAAGTAGAGACACTAATACTGATATACACCTGAACATCATCAGGAGAGGACTCTTTAAAGTAGAGACACTTACATACTGATATACACCTGAACATCAGCAGGAGAGGACTCTTTAAAGTAGAGACACTACATACTGATTATACACCTGAACATCAGCAGGAGAGGGAACTCTTTAAAGTAGAGACACTACATACTGATATACACCTGAACATCCAGCAGGAGAGGAATCTTTATAAGTAGAGGACCACTAATACTGATATGACACTCTGAACATCAGCAGGAGAGGACTCTTTAAAGTAGAGACACTAGATACTGATATACACCTGAAACATCAGCAGGAGAGGACTCTTAAAGTAGAGACACTACATACTGATATACACCTGAACATCAGCAGGAGAGGACTCTTTAAAGTAGAGACACTACATACTGATATACACCTGAACATCATCAGGAGGAGGACTCTTTAAGTAGAGACACTACATACTGAAATACACCTGAACATCAGCAGGAGAGGACTCTTTAAAGTAGAGGACACTACATACTGATATACACCTGAACATCAGCAGGAGAGGACTCTTTAAAGTAGAGACACTACATACTGATATACACCTGAACATCAGCAGGAGAGGACTCTTTAAAGTAGAGACACTACATACTGATATACACCTGAACATCAGCAGGAGAGGACTCTTTAAAGTAGAGACACTACATACTGATATACACCTGAACATCAGCAGGAGAGGACTCTTTAAAGTAGAGACACTACACACTGATATACTACCTGAACATCAGCAGGAGAGGACTCTTTAAAGTAGAGACACTACATACTGATATACACCTGAACATCAGCAGGAGAGGACTCTTTAAAGTAGAGACACTACACACTGATATACACCTGAACATCAGCAGGAGAGGACTCTTTAAAGTACGAGACACTACATACTGATATACACCTGAAACATCAGCAGGAGAGGACTCTTTAAAGTAGAGACACTACATACTGATATACACCTGAACATCAGCAGGAGAGGACTCTTTAAAGTAGAGACACTACATACTGATATACACCCCTGAACATCAGCAGGAGAGGACTCTTTAAAGTAGAGACACTATACTTATATACACCTGAACACAGCAGAGAGAACTCTTTAAAGTAGAGACACTACATACTGAATACACGCTGATCCATTCAGCAGTGAAGGAGAGGACTTCTTTAAAGTAGAGACACACAAATGATATACACTACATCAGCAGGATGGGACTCTTTAGTAGAGACAACTACTACTGATATTACAACTGAACATCAGCAGGAAGAGGTCTCTTACAAGTAGAGACATACATACTGAGAGACAACTGAAACATTCAGCAGGAGAGACTATTTAAAGTAGAGAACACTACATTCCTTATATACACCTGAACATCAGCAGGAGAGGACTCTTTTAAAGTAGCGTTTAGACGGATACATACTGATATACACCTGAACATCAGCAGGAGAGGACTCTTTAAAGTAGAGACACTACATACTGATATACACCTGAACATCAGCAGGAGACGGAAATTCACAAACACTTTGGAGAAACCTGCTGAAAAAGTGATATATGTATTTCTATTGTGAATTTGTAAATACTTGCTGTTAATGTTCATTTGTATTTTTACTAGATTTGTATCTTACTGTATCTTTTACATATTTTTAACTTGTGTGTAAGGCTGGATAACACTGCTGCTGTGACAACATAATTTCCCAATTTAGGATAAATAAAGCATCCATCTATCTGAAATACTGCATATTGATACTGTAAAGCTGGAATCACATGATCAGCGGGGAAGCGGCAAAACATTGTTGTTTAAAGGGGACCTAATATGCAAAATGCACTTTTTGATGTCTTTTTTACATAAATATGTGTCCCCGCCCGGTGTGTCAGGAGACTCACAAAGTTTCAGAAAACACAACCCTCTCTCTTTCCTCCCTACCCACATCTCTAAAAAAAAAGCCAGGATTTGGCTCCTATGACGTCATTGGCGACATCCGGCACACGTGACACGTCTCAACCTATCGTCTCCGGCACACGTGACACGTCCCAACCTATCGTCTCTGTATACAGTCGTCTAGCTCAGCAGTTTTCAAAGTGTGAGGCGCGCCTCCCCGGGGGGGAGACAGTGAATTCTAGCTAGTTAACTTCAGCTAACTTTATGCGAGCGGCAACATGGATCGATTTTTAGTGAAGTTACCTAAAGTGAGAGAGGAGACGGTGTCTGGCAGAAAACGTCACTTGCACACTTTTGGCTGTCTGTGGAGAGGAGGGACCGAGTTCCCCCACCTCGCCAATAAGGCTGTAAAAGTGCTCATTCCCTTCACCTCCACCTGAAGGGTGCAAGGCACTATTTACATGCCCCCCCGTGTGAGTGCGCGTTTTCCGCATTGACTTTGATCAAAATATTGAGAATATATTGCGAAATCTTCGACCTGAATATTGCGCAATAAACGGGAGATGGGGACCCCCCCCGATTATAACTACTTCGCACACTGGGTGAGTCTAATAAGGAGGCAAAGTTGACGTTCAGTGTGTTGCCGGGAGCAAGGATTTATCCACAATGTTAAAAACTTTAAAAAAAAATGTTTAAAACATAAAGATAAAAAGATTTAAAAAAGTTATTAGGCTTGTTTGAGACGAGCGAGACCCGCGCAGACCTGCGCAATTGCGATCAACGTCTTGCTAGTGCGTTGCATGATGGTTAGTCATTTTGTCCGACTTGCTCTGGAGGCTCAGATAGCAAAAAGTCATTGAATCAACATTGAGATATTGTCACGCTGAAGATTGTGATCAACATTGATGTCAGACATTGAAAATGAACTAACAAAAAAAGAGCCATTATTTATTCAGTTAATTATTACGATTTAATTCAATTATATGAACATTTTGTCCATCTTTTGTCCACTTTAGCACACAAAACATTCTCTCTTTTAAAGGTCTCATCATATGCTTTTCTGGTTATTACCCGTCCCCTTGTGTGTTATGTAGCTTTTTCTGCATGTAAACATGTTACTTGTTAGACGCTTTTATCCAAAGCGACTTACATACTCAATACTGTGGGCAATCCCCACAGGAGCACTTTTGGGGTGAAGTGTCTCAGGGACACAACGACATGCAGAGTCACAAACCCTCAAAGTACACCCTGTAGCGAGTAAAACTCTAACACAGAAAATACCTGCTATGCTGCCCCAGAACGCCTCGTTGGGGATTTTTCTTTTTCAATTTTTTTCTTCCTGAGTAAAGTGACGTAACGGATTTCCACACACACACACACCACACACACCACACACACACACACACACACACACACACACACACACACACACACACACACCACACACACCACACACACACACACACACACACACACACTCACTCACAGCCTGAGTTCCTCTGTGTCTCGCTGTCTCGCAGACCCCATGCCATCATCATTTTCTGTTTAAAGTGGACCTATCATGCTATATTTGAATAATATAGTGTAGGACCATACATAAGGCATATTTATACTTTTTTTTTTTCAAAATACCAAACAGATCATGCATTTTAGCCATGCCTCATTTCGCTCAATTTGACAATTTATAGCTCTGTTTTTGCAAGGGCTGATTCAGTGAGAACAGCACCACCTACAGGCCTGGCATATGTACTACAGCGTCTCCAGCGCTTTCGAACGGCAATGCCGTGGCTGTCTCCTCCTGATTGGTGGAGTTGGCCCAATAGCCGTAGCGCCACCGTCCTGACGTCAGGACAGTGTTCAAATCTGGATCAGGTTTTATCAGATCCGTTGCAGCCCCTTTTTTAGAGATTTGGGTATGGAGGAAAATAGAGAGGGTTGTGTTTTCTGACACTTGGTGAGTTCCCTGGAACACCGGGGACACATATTCATGTAGAAAAGACGTACAAAAGTGCATTTTGCATGATAGGTCCCCTTTAATGCAGCTTTGCTAGATGTTGATAACATGCATTCTTCACATGCTGAAGATATGGATTTGAAAAAATGCACGTTTTGCAACATAACACAAGTTAAGGACATTTCTTGACATAATAAACATCTAGCAAAGCTGCTTTAAACAGAAAATGACGATGGCCTTTGAACACAGATTCTGAGGATCGTTTCTGCTTCTGCTTTTATCCATCAGGTCAAAATAGGATTCACACACCTGGCACCATTGTGATATATCAGGCCTCAGCCTCTTCAGCACATCA